GTAGCCCATCCACTGTAAAACTTCACCTACCCATGCACATTAACCTAACATTAAATATTGAAAAAGAGTACATATTTACCTTCAGATCTCTAAATCAAAGTGCTAAAAACTTAAGGGCATATTAAAAAGCATCGTTTAAGGCAGCAAACTACCCTGATCAGAATGGGCAGGCTCTCAGAGTAAAAACACTAACAAAGGGAGAGTCATAAATGACACTGGAAGACAACTTCAGATACAATTTAGCACTTTAAGAAACTAGATTGTACCTGAGTGCTGCAAAAACCCAAAATTGTTAGCAAAATTCTAATTTCCTTATTCATCAAATACTTCAGAGAGTAGTAAGCTTTTTATTGTTTGTGTTGCTTTGATAAAATCAAGGTGCTGAAACTGTTGCACAATTTTTTAAGGTACCTCACTATAATTACCTCCGAAGAGTGCTAAAAACACTTCTAATGGTGATTATTTTATAAAGTATTAAAATACATAGCATTTTAGAGAAGAATTTCGTTTCTCACTTTTTCGGATGAGCCATTTATTGTACTCATAAGACAAGTGTACTATCAGTTCCTAATAGAGTCTTTGTTTCACACTTTTAAATGAACAGGAAATAGAAAGTGGAGATAAATAACAATTACTAACACTTTTGCCACCACCACAGTCAAAATTACAAGTTTATTTAGTTACTTGGCTCTCAACTGCTGGGGTAATGAAAGTAAGGGAGGGAGTGTAAAAGCCTTGAGATACAAACATATTTTAATTTTAATGGTATTAAGTGTGCGTTTTTCTCCATCATTATATTTTAGAAATTTAATAGAAAACCTCAAGTGCTTTTTTTTGAGCTTTCTAGAGAGTAATATTTTCTCTTAAAGCAAAAAGTGTCTCTTTTCTACATTATCAAATGTCATACTTTCTAACAATTATAAATAGAAAATTTGCTAATATTATTAGGAATATGATAAAAATAACTATTTGTAAATTCTAAAAGAGTATTTTTCAATTAAAACAAAAACAGAAAACAGGGATATACTTTAAAAAATGGGGTGCCTGTGTGGCTCAGTTGGTGAAGCGTGAGACACTTGTTCTGGGGTCATGAGTTCAAGTCCCACATAGAGCTTACTTAAAAAAAAAAACAAAACAGGGCACTCCATCATTATTCAGTAATAATTCACCTGCAAAAATACTGTCTGCATATTTTCTTACAGTAATTTGAAACTATGTACCAGTCAAATATGGAAGACTTCCTTAAAGGGTTATTTTCTGACATATGTAGAATGAAGTACTTACAAGCTACCATTATGAAACTCAATTTTAAGTCCTCTTAACATGGTCTTCCTGTTACTAGTGTTCTTGTTTAAACTGTCATTGTGCTGATTTAAGTAATTATAAGCCACAAGTATAATACAACAATTTAAAAATGGGGGTACTACAGCTAGTTCTGGAATTAACCCCTTATTTGCACTAATACATCATAAATTGTGGAGATTTTGATAACAAGGGTACAGTGAACAACTGTATGCTTCCACAGAACTTAAATATCCCCCAAACTCTAGTTCCTTTTAAAGTATTATCAAAAACGCAGTTCTGCTTTTATGACATGAGACAATGAAAAAAATTTATCCTGTAACTTTCCTATACTGTGTAATTATATTTAATAAGTACAAATATGATTAAAGAGTTTTTGTTAGATATCGAACTATGTATTTAAATCTATAAATCCACAAATGTTAAGTTACCTACCATGTAGGTAGGCTAACTCAAGGCCTCAAGGCCAACTTTTTCAGACCCTCTCTCTGTACCAACTCCTCTGATTTTTTTCTTGCCAATTTTGTAAGAACAGGTAATGGCACATAATAATTCTTTACTTCTCACTTCTCTCTGGCCTACTTTTATTTATTTATTTTTTTTAAATATTTTTTTTTTTTTAATTTATGATAGTCACAGAGAGAGAGAGAGAGGCAGAGACACAGGCAGAGGGAGAAGCAGGTTCCATGCACCGGGAGCCCGACGTGGGACTCGATCCGGGTCCCCAGGATCGCACCCTGGGCCAAAGGCAGGCGCTAAATCACTGCGCCACCCAGGGATCCCATCTCTGGCCTACTTTTAGATGCTCATCTAATATCGCTACAATGGAACAGTTCAACATCTAAAGAATAGTAATAATCAATTATTAGTGGCTGCTTTTATTGTCTCCCTAGCACGAGCAGTTCCCCAGTTTTTAAATACTATGGGAAAATTGTCCTATTACAATATACTGGAGCACAGAATCCACTTTTCCCAAGAAGGTAAGTTATTTTACAGTTTATTTCATAGGCCAGATTCCAAATGCTACACAATCCATAATGAACTTCTGTTTTAAATTTTAAAAACCTTTCTCAAGTGCCATTTATGCACATGAGATTTTTGCCTTAGCTTTTTAATAATGACACTTTAAAAACTAAAATTAAAATATTTTTTTTAAAAAAGCTTATATTTAAAGTAATCCCTATACCCAATGTGGGGCTCAAACTCAATCCTGAGACTGAATTGAATGCTCTATTAACTGAGCCAGCCAGGTGCCCCCCCAAATAAAAATATTTTGATGGAAAGCTTTTAAAAGTATTGTATATGTTCTCTGGTTTCTTAAAAAAAATTCTTGGCCAGTATTAACACTAAAGAAAAACTTTGTAATGTGCTACTTAGAATATGGGTAACACATATTGTCTGTGAAATCAGGGATTTTACAGTAATTTGTACCCATATTCTTACGGCATGGATATTTTGAAAATAGTTTTTCCATTTTTTTCTTCATTGCCTCTTAATTACCTTTTGATGGTTTCATTCTGCCTACACTAAACAGATCTCAGTCTAGAAAATTTGCCATTCTACTTTAAGGTACACTAATAAATACACCAGAAAGCTAGATAGAATATTGTGTCCAGAGTGGGGGAAAAGAGGCAAGAGAAGAGGGTGAAGGCTTTGAATAGATAGATGAAGTTTTCCTTAGTACACAAAATACAAAAGCAGTAATGTATAATAAACTCTGTGATACTTAAATGTTCCTTCAGGGAGTCTCTATGTTCCAAATAACTCCAACTGCTGGAATATCATTCTACTAGCTTGACCATAACTAACTACGATTTTAATATCTTATATATAAGAAAATTTTAATTAAGATGCCAAATGTAGCAAAATTGAGGGGAAAAAAAAGAGGTCAGAAGTTAGGTGCTCTGTATTAAGGCAGAGAAAAAGCAATACCTTTCCCTCAGCAGTTTTTCGGTATTCTATCTATATGTAGGAAGGAAATTATCCCATTAAGAGATATCATTTACATATTTTAAATTTTATAACACACTTTACAACACATATTTTTTTTTAGAAAAAAAATTTTTAAGATTCATTTATTTGAGAGAGAAAGAGAGAGGAGGGGCAGAGGGAGAGAGAATCTCAAGCAGACTCTTTGCTGAGTGCTGAGTCAGATGCACGCCTTGATTTCACAACACTGAGATCATAAGCTGAGCTATTGAACCAAGTGTCCGATGCCAACTGACTGAACCGTGCAGGTGCCCCTCCTACACATCATTTTAAAAACACAGTATTAACCAATGAGATGTCTATATATGTATATAGACAGAGAGAAAGAGAGAGAACACATATGTTTTTGTAACTTGAATTTGCTTTTTTTACTTTGTTTTTTTTATTTTTTATTTTTTATTTTTTTAAATTTTTATTTATTTATGATAGTCACACACAGAGAGAGAGAGAGAGAGGCAGAGACACAGGCAGAGGGAGAAGCAGGCTCCATGCACCGGGAGCCCGATGTGGGATTTGATCCCAGGTCTCCAGGATCGCGCCCTGGGCCAAAGGCAGGCGCCAAACCGCTGCGCCACCCAGGGATCCCTACTTTGTTTTTTTTTAAAAGCTAAGCCTCAAGAGAATGAGAAGATAAACCACAGACTGGTAGCAAATATTTGCAAAAGCCTGTAAGAACTGTTACTGATTACAAAATAGGCAAAAGATGACCAGACACCTCACCAATGAAGACATACAGATGGCAAGTAAGCATATTAAAAATATTCGATAGGTCACTGGGGAATCAAAACTACGACATATCACTACCTACCTATTGGAATGGCAAAACTACTTACGATATGACAATGGTGGATGCGTGCTATCATGTATTTGTGAAAACCAAAGGAATACACACCACCAAGAATAAATCCTCATGTAAACTATGGACTTTGGGTGATAATGAGGTGTCAATATAGATCCATTATAGCAAATGAACCACTGTGATGCAGGATGTCAATAACTAGGGAGGCTGTGCCTGTGTAGCAATGGGAGTATGGTAACTCTGTACTTTTTCTGCTCATTTTTGATGTAAAAAATATCAATAAAAAAATTAAGGAGCAGGGTACCCCAGTGTCTCAGTCAGTTAAGCGTCTAACTCTTGATTTTGGCTCAGGTCATGATGTCAGGGTTGTGAGACTGAGTCAGCCCCTAAGTCAGCCGTGTGTGTGTGTGTGTGTGTGTGTGTGTGTGTGTGTGTGTGTCTCTCCCCTGTGCTCAGTGGGGAAGTCTGCTTGAGGATACTTTCTTTCTCTCTTCTGCCCCTCCTCCCTCTCTAAAATAAATAAATAAATAAACATTTTAAAAAAAATTAAGAACCAGTTATTGCCAAAGACCCAGAAAGTTAAATAATTTTGATATAAAAATATTCCAAATTTCTGCAGACTTAAAAAAATACGTTTACATTTCAAATATTATTCTTATTCTGTATTATTATGGTTTATAAAAATGATAGGTATTGCACAGCCCTTCTGATATGTCAAACCATATAAAATGATAGAGATTTAAATGTTGAAAGCTTAAAAGTAGAAATCAACATTAGTAAGTAAAACCCTCATTCGGTTTAATAAATGGGCTGAGATGTGGACTTCATTCACCTACTTTGGAATTATTACAATAATTTTACCCATTTGGAAGTAGTAGCTGAAATGGGATATTAACACATAAGTATTTACCTTTGAGTCATAATTTTGAAGGCATCTGGGAGGTAGCAGTCTGTATTCTCCATCTGAAATGGGTCAGCGTCACAAATCTTGTCATCTGTCCGACCATAATTAGCGCTCTCAATCATGATGACATCACTGCCTGGACATCGCAGGTCTATAGAATAACCTTCACAGGATAATTCTCGTCTAACTAACCCGAATGGTAAAGCTGCTCTGCTGAAACCTTAAAAATTAAAAAAAGAAAAAGAAAATTAAAATCAACACATTTATGAAATACTTCAATAAGGCATTTTCAAGTAATATGATTCATGTTTATATTTAACAGATGTCACAAAAAAGTATTTAAGTTATCCATTCATGCATTTATTAAACAATTTGTTAACTCTTTACTATACATCAAGTTTAGTTTTTTTTAATATACGCCTTTAGCTAGACTATTCACCTGTATAATACAACCTAAAATTACTCAAAATATTTTCTGTATATAATCTACTCACAATCAGAAACTAAGTGGCTCTTTCTGAGTAAATCCAAAGAAAAATCACCAATTTAATCAACAGATTTATAAATAATGACAAGCTTTACAAATACAGAATGTAACAACTAATCAAGAAACAATCTTCATTTAGGCAGTGGGATAAAAGCTGATATACACGGACTGTACTTTCTCATTTAATGTATGTATGTTCGTTGTTGTTTAGTAGCATTATCTAAAACATTCTTTTGTGTTTCCCCAACCAAAAACTAAGTCACTATGCAATAACATACTTCGGGCACAACAATTTCTGTCAATTTATAGGTACTTTATTTAAAACTGGCATAAATGGAAACATGCAGCAGTTGAGCATTCAAAGGAGCCAAAACTGCTCCAATCCAATCCAATAAGCCGAAACAACCCAGAAGAGCAAAATTTGTCTTAGATTCACTTTTGTCATCTACAGAACAGAGATGAAATACCCATGATGCTACTTCTCCTACCAATGTGACTCTAAAATAAGATCATGTACATAACGGTGCTCAATTAAAAGAGCTACATGAATTTAAGTGTGGTGTATTAGAAACAGTGTAGGAGGGGATCCCTGGGTGGCGCAGCGGTTTGGCGCCTGCCTTTGGCCCAGGGCGCGATCCTGGAGACCCGGGATCGAATCCCACGTCGGGCTCCCGGTGCATGGAGCCTGCTTCTCCCTCTGCCTGTGTCTCTGCCTCTCTCTCTCTCTCTCTCTCTCTCTCTCTGTGACTTTCATAAATAAAAAATAAAAAAAATAATAAAAAAAAAGAAACAGTGTAGGAAACTTCTGTTCATGAGTGCTGAAAAAGATTACCAGACGGAATCAACCGTGGGACCCATGAAGTAGTAACACAGTCACAGGACAAAGGGTAAAGACCAAGACAAGAACCGCCAAGAACTATGGTGTGAGTGAAGTTCATCTTCACTCTGTTGGTATTCCACCCATGGCTTAGCTACCACTGTCAAAAACTTCTCCAATTTCTTCTGGCTCAGTTTCTTATTTCAATTTTCTAACCTACCACCATCTCAAACATTCCTGTTATAAAAGATTAGCAGTAATTTCAGTGTCTTTTCTGAACTCTATCCTTTTAATTATTCTGCATCATATATATTATCCTTTATATCCCTTTTTATAGGAAAAAAACTGGCACTCAGAAGTAAACAGTTCCAAGTTATAAAGTCTGAGTTGAAAAACTGGGTTACATCCAGGTCAGTCCAATCCCAAAACCTGTTTTCTTTGACTTTATTGTGTGCAATGCCTCACTAATTCAATGAAACAGAGTCACCTGGTAAAACATGCACCTTCTTCCTAACAGGCAAATAATCCTCCAGAGAGAGGTGACTGGGTTACTTTAAAAGGACTTAAAAATCACCAATTCTCAGACTTGGCTGAGCTCTCAGTTCTACTGAGAAAATTAAAGGTGTAATTGGAATGAAGAAAGCAGAAAAGGACACAACTTGGGAACACAGAAATCTTCAGAGGATTATGGCCTACCCTCAGCTTGGAAAGTTTTCACTAAGGTTTATTATGGTCTTATGAGATTAATAAAGTATATATAGAGATGCACTATCAGTGAAGAAGGAATACAGAAATGGAGCTAGACGAGACCATGGGGTGCCTTAGTTGATTAGGTGTCTGACTTCGACTCAGATCATGATCTCAGGCCCTGGGAGTGAGCCCTACTTCAGGCTCCTTGCTCAGCAAGGAGTCTACTTCTCCCTCTCCCTCTGCCTTTCACCCTCCTTATGTTCCTGCACGGACTCTCTCTCTCTCAAATGTGTAAATAAAATCTAGAAAGAAAGAAGAAAGCTAGACAAATGTCAAAACAGCCAGTAAACAGGCCAATCTTTCAAAAAGTTTGTGAAAGTTCATAAATAAACTTTTACACATTTATTATTGCTTTCTTCTGTTTCCTGATACTGCTGTATTGTACTGACTTTACAGATAATTAAAAAAAATAGTATTCTTATATTTGTTTTGATGGAAAATATACTTTACACCTTCACTTACTTCAGTGGCATAAGCCGTGTGGAACCGAAACAAGCAACATAACATTTTGAAACACAGAGTATTTTAGAGGCAGAGATCCTTTTAATTATAAATCTTTAACAAATGAGAATAAATCATATTATTAGAAAATACTATGAATGTTAGAATACATTATTAGAAGACTGGCTTGGAGCCATAATTCACAACTTTCACTACTTGTCAAAAATATAGGATTGATTATGAAGCACAGTGGTTTTTAAAGTAAGCCCTTAATTTTTGTTGTTGTTGATAGTTTTTAGGATTATAGTTATGCTTCTAAGTTAATTTTCCTCTGCATTTGGAAGATATTTAAGAAGCTGCATTGTTGAGTATCCTGCTGTCTTGGTAAATCAGGGATAGGATTTTTAATCCTTAGCCGTAGTCATCCAAACAGGTAAAGTAAGAAAAAAGAAAAGGAAAGGGAGACAAAATGATCAGCATTCTTTAATAATTTAGAATTCTAATGTAGAATCTTCTGGAGAAGAGAGATCATGGTACTTACGCTTTCAATGCACAGAACTCAGTGAGTTCTTAATAGTGAGTATTACTTTATTAAATGTTACAATGTCTATTGTCTTGAATTATAAGTGTTCTCCTTTATAAATCCTTGCTCTCTCCCCACTGTTTCCATTGAACTTTATACGTCTTCACTAAAGTGCTTATTATTACCACATGGCACTATGCATATTTATCTTCAATTTATATCTTCCCTGCTAAACTATGGCGATAGAGTTCTTCATTATAATTCCAATGCCTAGGTGGGTACATGATACATAATTCCAACAAGTATTGACAAACCAAAGCTAAATTGGACTAGTGTTTGTTAAAACCATAAAAAATTGCAATTTTTTCCCTCTATAAAACCTATTTCCTTTGGTAATGGAAAAAAAAACAGCAAGGATTAAAATTAGATAAACCACTCATAATCAATGAAAATGACATGCCATACTAAAAAAAAAAAAAAAGAAAAAATATTTAAATTCTGCCAATTTGTTATCTTCTAGGTACTGCTGGGGTTTCATTACTGTTTCTCAATGAGACAGATGAGAGCATGTTTATGAACTTTCATTTATTTAAACACTGTGTTTCCAATCAGAAATACAAAAATTCAAATGGGAACACAGAAAAATTATTATAATAGCCAACATTTACACATCAATTAAGATGTTCTGGCACTGTGCTAAATGCTTTATATGGAACACTTTTTTTAATGCTAAACAACATCATCATCAACAACAAAAAACAATGCAGTAGGTTACTCAACTATAATGCACACAGGGTTCTCAGACTCCTTAAGCCCGTGCTCTTATTAATGGCCACAAACAGAAGAGTATTGTGTGACTTCCCAAGCCACCTTACTGACAAGAACTTTATAAATTTTCATGCAACGTGAAACCCAGCAATGAATATAAATTTGACAGGACACAATTATGAGAAAGGTTCACAAAATATAGAGATAATAATGAAAATTATAGTTGTGGAAATGTAGTGTTGTGTGCCAAAAATATAGAGAGGCACAATCTACACTGTTCAAATATGTACACATGGAAAAGAGTACGGAATACTCAAGTATGTGTCTCTGGGTCACCCTTGTGAACTTGGCTAAGTCATTTTACTTTTCTGGTTTTAATTTCTTTTTCTGAAGAATTAAATTTATTTCGAAGTTGTAGCAAATTCCCTCAATCTGTTATTCTAGATAGGCAAGCTTTTTTTATCAGGTGACACATGCTATTCTAACATTTTTCTAAGTGATGGTCAAGTAACAAATTCCTTGTTCTATTTCTTTAAAATATAAACATACACGAGAAGGCTATGGATGTGTTATGGCACAACTATGTAGATTACATAGTACCGTCAAGGTAATTCTTGAAAGCACATGTGTTGAACGAGGCAGGCAGGATTCACGCAAATCATAAGCAGACATCTTCTTGTATTAACTATTTTAATCAAAGACAGTAAAAGGGATAAAATAAATAGGGTCAATCAACGAGATCACAAGAAAAATTTACATACTTTTTTTTAGAAAAATGTAAACTGCTGTGACTTCTTTGGCCACTTCACACTATTTCCCTAAAAGCTTCCAGGAGTTTGGGTTCAACTTCTTCCACCCACAATGGTACCTCGGAGGAAGTCTGGGAAAGTCTTAAATAAAACTGTTGCAATTGATATTAATTTTTAAAATTCGGGACGCCTGGATGGCTCAGTGGTTGAGTGTCTGCCTTTGGCTCAGGCTGTGATCCCGGGGTCCTGGGATGGAGTCCTGCATCAGGCTACCCGCAGGAAGTCTGCTTCTCTCTGTGTGTCTTTCATGAATAAATAAATTAAATCTTAAAAAAATTTTCAACATTTTCACTAAGAAAATGTGATGAAAAAAAAAAAAACAGAACAAATCTTATTCCTAAATATTTATTTACTCCTTTATTTGTATCATGTTAATGACTTACTATATTGAATCACAGAAATAAATCATCATAGGTATGGCCACTATATCTTAACCATATTTTCTTCCTTTGTATATGATGTAATTCTTAACTGCTTAAAATGTAATTTTAGGACTTTTTTTTTTTTTAAGTCACTTGTCAGGACTATACAATTGATTCCCAATCATGATTTTGCATCAGAGTCATCTGGTGTTTTTAAAAAGATCTTCAAGCCCTAATCCAGACCTACTGAATCACAGTCTCTG